GATTAAAAAGTTGACATTTTTTCATACAGTTATTGGCACTACTGAAATTACGGTTAAAATGGGTGAATAAAGCCCAAAATAACCTCAAATTATCATTTATAAAGTTCAATTAAAAGAAAACTCACCTGTAATTGTGTTTTATTTCAGATAACAGGCGAATACAGCGCAACGAACAACGTGGTGGTGCTTACACAATTTGTGAAAACTTCGTCACTCATAAGGAACAACAGGAACCGCGTCCGACACATTCACTCACTGCGAACACCATATTGGATTGACGACATCGCAACTAATAACACACATTATACATAGATGGCGCTAAAGTTTGAGATTTATTTTATATTAAAAGCTTTAGTAGTTTTCTTATTAAATCCACTTTTATCGTCACAGTGCCAATCACTATACCAGTGCCAACGACTATACCGTTTACCCTAAGTAATGATCTTGCTTTCACCAAAGCAGTGTATTAAATCAATTTACAAGTAATCACAGCAAGTAGCAACACAACACTTAAAAGAACTTATTTTAATTTACAGCATTACAGCGTCCGAAAGAAACTTCCATCCATTACTATTGTAAACATAAACAATTACAAATATTGCACGAACGGAGCGAAGCTCTCTCATGCACTTACAGTTTACAGTGTTTACACCAATCGACAAGTGCGCGGTAAAATTAAAATTTGTATGCCTAATTGGTTGCCTATCCGAACAAAGTTACAATCTCGGTCATGACCGAGAATCTCGGCTATTATTAGCCGAGAACCGAGACAAATTTCTTGGTTGTATTTGAAGCCGAGAATGTCGAAACCGAGACCGAGACCGAGATCTCGGTCGAGCATTAGTATCTCGCTATAGAATTTTCTGATATTTTCGCTGCTTTGGGTTGATCAGTATTTGTCGATACATTTTCTCCACGTCCGCACTAAAAACGTATTGGTATTTTCTGAATCGTAATAAAATATCCAGTAGGTCGCTTTGCACCACTGGACCTTTTAATTGTACATCATTAAGGCTTAATCCAGAGCTTGTTGCTGCCGAACCATCGAACACTGTCCTGAGCTTGGTTGTTACACTAGAGTGCTTAATAACTGCATGGTGTGGAAGATAATAACCTTCACTAGAATCGTACTCATGTATTTCTGACATATGTCCTAGATTCTCATATTCATGCATGAAAGCTTCGTATTGGTCGCTTAATTGTTCATCGTGAAGCAGTTTTTTGTCTAACATTGTAAATCTTTTCAGTGCGGTAGAACGGGATTCGCCCAATTCTGTAACGTTTTCTGAGAATGGAATGTTCACTACAAATTTCCCATCTGTAGTTCGTTCCGTTGTTTGAATGAAAATTCTTTCACATTCGTCTTCGGTCTGTTGATCTGTTTTCTCATCGAACTTTACCTCCTCTTGCTCCCAAAACTTTTGTAGCTGTTCTGATATAGCACAAAGTGTGTTTGTTTTAATTGTTCCCATGGCTGGAATCATACCGCCACCGAGGATATAACCCAGTTTTGTTTTGTACAAAATAGGCATTCGCTTACCTAAGCTTATGCGATGACCTTCCAGTACGTCCCAGAACACTGCACTACCCAATAACAAGTCCACTTTTCTACTTTTGAAAAACTCATCGTCAGCCAATTGTGTACCCTCTGGGATATTCAGTTCATTTTTGTTGAATGTTGTGGCAGGCAGTTGATCGGTTATTTTGTCAATTACAAGACATGTTATTGCTTGATGATAATCGCTATTTAATGATTTATATTCAGATCTACCATGGCATCAATTGTTGTACCTTTAGCACCCAACCCATTCACAGTCATATGTATATTTATTTTATTTTTTTTATGTGAAGGTTGAATTATTTTGTACTTTATCGATGTTATATGTTTATTTCATTCTCTACATGTTTCGAGGATACGAGTCCTCATCATCAGGAAGAATTCGTTAATCTTATAAATATAAATTTCACCATGTTTTATTTCTGTTATTTGTAATCACTGATGGTTTCCGATTATTTCTGTAATTCTATATTCTATATGTATATTTCTTTTGTTTAATCGCAATAGTTCGTATGCTTTTTTGGAAATGAAATTGCTTTGTGATCCGTTATCCATCAAAGCCCTTAACACAAAATTGTTGTCAGATTTGTCACGCACCATTACGCATGCTGTGGATAGAAGAACCTGTTTTGATGACGCTCCCATCTGACTTGCACAGGCAATAGTACTTTGTTCGTCACTTGAGTTGTCCAAATTCGCCTCTTTAGAAGTAATTTTCATCGCAATTTTGGGTTTTTCCTTATGTAACAATGTATGATGATGTTTATTACATCGTTGGCACGTTCTCGATTTACATTGTTGGCTTGTGTGACCTGCTCTTAAACAATTGAAGCATAAACCCTTCTGTTTTACTAGTTCAATTCGTTCTTCAGCCGATAGTACCTTGAATTGTTCACATTGAAATGCACTGTGATTGCCCTCACATATAAAACATTTGTATTTCACAGTTTCAGTAACCGTTAATGAACTGATTTTGTCTCGCTTTACACTGCTTGATTCGGTTGCATGTCCACGTCTGACATCCACATTTTTGCTTTGAATAGATTCGAGTAAATTTCTCCTTTCGTTTAAGAAATTCACTAGTTCATCCAAAGTTGGTAACTTGTTTATGGTGTTCATTGATTCCCAATCGCGTCTCGTGGTGACGTCCATTTTAGAAACTGTAATGTATATTAGCAGAGCGTCCCAATGCTGCACCTGTTGTTTGAGAACCTCCAAACATCGTACGTTTCTTACTAAAGCATCAGTTAATGATCTCAATGCAGAGTAGTTCTCTTTCGCTATTACTGGAATTTCAAAAATCGCCTTTATATGGCTATTCACCGTGATTCGCAAATTTTCAAATCGTTTTTTGAGAAGGTTCCAAGCGACATCATAATTACGATCGTTTGCCTCTAATGATTGTATAACTTTTGCTGCGTCGTTTTTCAGACACCCTTTTAAGTAGTGAAATCGTTGTATGTTTGTTAAGTTTGCATTATTGTGCACCAAAAAATGAAATGTGTCTCTGAATTCAGTCTATGTCTCGTATGTTCCAGAAAAAGTTGGCAAATTTAAAGTTGGAAGGCGAATTGACGATTGTTGTTCAATGTTCGAATTTTGTAATAAATTGGATGACAAAGGTGTTGAAGTTTGTCGCGGCAGAAAAGATCGTGCACGTGAAATCACCGAACTGTATAATGTATTAAAGTTAGCTAGTTCGTCATCAACGCGTTTTTTGTTTTCCTCACTGTTGTCTAAATATTCAAGCTCTAATAAGTTTTCCTCGACTTCTTTTAAACACGGTTCACACGTCTCCAATTTGTTTCGCAAGATATCTAATTGTTGGTCGTCGTATGCTTCCAAAAATGATTCAAATAGGTTTAGTTTCACTTTGCATTGTCTCAGTGATGCTTCGCGTCTCAATTTCTCCCTCTGCTCTTTTAATGGCATTTTAGCAATCTCAAAACACGGGACAAGGAAAAAATTGGGAAAAAACAGGACTTACCGCCACGCCGCGCCGTAATATCCACGAAAAAAAACCTGTCTTTGTAGCGTTCGCCGCCCAGTTGATGTTTCGGTACTCCTTCTCCCTCGCTCTCGTATTCACCTCGCTACTCCGTCTCTCTCACTCGCGTAGTCGCCACGCGTCATGTCACCTGTCTTAACTCGTTTCACACACAATTTTCGGATTATTTGATCGGATCGTCGTTCACCGATGCCCTGATAATCCGACTCGAAGGACCAAAAATGTTGATTCGTTAAATAAAACACGTCGAGTTTAATAAACAGGTTGTTTCGGGAGGAGAGGATTTCGACTTCTAACCTCCACCGTTACTCACAAGCGACTCTCCAAAAATAACACATTGCATTACCAACCGTTTCCTACGTTAAAAACAAAAAGTAACTAAAAATACGTCTGAACAGGTAATGTGAAATCGAATTATAAACATGTTTTTACTAAAGTAAAGAACATGAACATCATGAAATTCCAAAATTTGATTAATGTTAATAGAGATAAACTTAAGCTTTTTAATTGTAACAAGAATTGGATTGTCAATCTGTCTTCGGTATCTATTCCCCAGAATGTATCAGACTTCTTGTCTCTCGGTTCAAAATTTGCTCTTCCTGTTGATAAACGTAATATTAAGTTGAGTAGATGTTTGATGGACGTTGAAAGCGCTATTTCACTTTGTCCCTCTAAGGTTAGAGACTTGCTCAGGGCGAGAAGCACGAATGTGATTACTAACTTTGTTAATAATGATGTGAATGGTACGTGGCTGGATAAACAGATTAAACACTTAATTACTGCTACCAAATCCTTCCTTAAATCTAATAAAAACTTAGTTATCATCAACGCTGACAAAGGTGCAACTACAGTCATTTTGAATAAAGATGATTATATCAATAAAGCTGTTGACATGCTGAATGATGTATCTACTTACACCAGAATTAATAAATTTCCTGTTGACACTGTTCAAAGGAATCTTAATAAATTAATTAAACACCTTCACAATGAAAAGATTATGGATGATAATGAATTGAGGTTTCTTACAACACAAAATTCAACTTTGTGTAAAGCTTATTTCTAAAAGCTTCTTAGACCCACAATTTCGGCCTGTGGTTCAGCCACGTACAACTTATCCAAATACTTATCCAGCATTCTTGCTCTTTCCTTGAGCAATGTAACTCAATACAACGTTAAGGATACCTTTGAATTTGTTAACTACATAAAAGGCTTTCAACTTCCATCAGACTATGTCATTATTTCTCTTGATGTGGTGAGCTTGTTCATCAATATACCCTTACACTTAATTCTCAACATTGTTAAAGATAAATGGGATGTGATTAAGGATAACTGTAAGTTTTCCTCTGAAACCTTTTGTAAACTTTTAAAGTTTGTTTTTGAGAACACCTACTTTTCATTTAATGATCAAGTTTATTTGCAGAAGTTTGGTACACCCATGGGTTCACCTATAAGTTCCATTTTAGCTCTTATAGTTATGGACTTTGTTCATGATGGTGTTATTCCTCAGTTAGAGTTTGAATTACCGTTCATTAAAAAATTTGTTGATGATATTATCACTAGTGTTCCCAGGAATGGTGCTTATCACATTTTGACAGTCTTTAATTCGTTTAATAGTAACATTCAATTCACTGTTGAGACGGAAAAGGATATATTTGTTCCGTTCCTTAATTGTAAGGTTATTCGTGAGAACACCTCTATAGTCATTGACGATACACGACGTAAATTCATTACTTGTCACACCGCACAGTGGTCCCAAATCCCAAATCTTCGGACAAAAATAGAAGGTATTGTGTAATCGCTAGAAAATTTGGTGGACGGGGGTTTTCTAGGTCGCTGAACCCGAATCTGAAGTAAAATTTTCAAAAAACAAGATGGCGGCCCAAGAATGGCGGAAAATTTTCTTCAAAATTCAATTAATCTTCACGAAATCTGGTACTCAGGCGTTTTCGAGGTCGCTAAACACGAATCTATTTTGAAAGAACAGAAGAACATGCTAATATATGTATGTGGGATATAGTAGATAGGTAAAATATCGAAATAAACAATACAAATTCGAGTATATTCACTCATTTAATGAAAAATTACATTAAGTACAAACAGTTAATAAACAAACCTATTTTTAAGTTGGGAAAATTAATCGCTATCTGTAGTCGTAGCATAACTATCGTCATCACTATCGCTATAGTCACTAGATAAAACGTCTTTATTATTGTGAACACTAGCTGACTTTAACAACGCAACTGCTTCGCGTGATAAGGATTTGGTTGCCTTTGCTGGCAGCTTACGTAAACTGGAAATGACAGGGTCGGACGAAACCAAAAGCCGCGAAAAAACATCTTCCATATTGTCCTTCCTACTACATTTTCTGGAAAAATCTTGTCGAAATGATTTTATGTATTTATTACACGCTTCCTGAGCTTCTTCTGACATCTGTCCTATTGGCAGCATCGAAAATTGTAGTATTTTCGCCCCGTGAATTAACAGTTTGTGTACAGTAGTGGGCATATAGTACCAACCATATAATAGCACGAATCTACGGGCTGTATTAAGAGCGTATTCTTCAAACTTCTGTACATTTATCTCAAAACCGCACGATATCACTTGTAAGATTACGTGGAATCTTTTTATTAGGTCCTCTTCTAGTCCCGTAATAGTTGCAGAAACGCTTGAATTTTGAAAAAAACGACGAGCGGTATTCCCGTCGTTTGTGCTACCGAAACCGTGTTTTGGCTGATCAATTAAAAGACCCAATTTTTCCCGGAAACCTTCTTGTATATTTTTTTTACGATCCTTGATGCTTTTGTTATTCGAGGACCACTTTTTAATTTCTAATTTGTACGAAATATGTAAAAGGCACTCAAACAACCGAATCCAGGCGTGCAGGGAAGATATTCCATACTGTAAATAATCTTCGTTTATCTTTTTCTTCAACATCTTGTCGATGTCGTTAAACTCTTTTGATGTAC